TAAGTGAGAGACGACTCTGCATTTTGAACGAGCCTTGTGACTGCAGTGTGGTGGAGGATGTGAAGGGGAAGGAAATCCACTGCAGGCAGTGGTTAAGGGGAGAGATGATGGTAATAGGACCTTGGTAATGAGAATGGGATTGAGAAGAAAGAGATGGGCTTTGAGAGAAGTTTAGGAAGTAGAATGGTCGGGATTGGGTATTTGATTGGATCCAAGGAGGGAGGGAGGGAAGGAGGAAGGGAGAGAGAGAGAGAGAGAGAGAGAGGAGTCGAATAGGATTTCCAGATTTCTGGTTTATGAAATTCTGTGGGTACCATTTAAGGAGACAAGAAACCAAGCGGGAAGGGCAGTTTGGGGCTTGGGGGAAGATGATGGTTTTGGATTAAGGGTAACAGAATAAGGACCTCTGGAAATCCACTCCTCCATGTAAGCAACAAGATTACTGGCAAAAAAAGTCAAAATCAAGTTTTTAGAATCCTTAAAATGAACCAAAACCTTACAGGAATCCAAGAAGCATCTATTCAAGAAAAACAACTGAATATCAGTAAGAACAGTTCAGGGAACTTTGTGGTGTTTTACCCTGCCCCACCCTCATCCTCTTCTCTCCAGCTCTGCAGTAGCCTCACAGCTTGAGAAGCTATAAAAACCAGCAACCTAGAAGCCACCACAGTGGGCAGAATAGGTTTGGAGCCTCCCCAAAAGCCCCAGCCCAGAGAATTGTCACTCTTTGACCTACCTGGAAGCACCCTGAAAAGCCCCATTCTCAAGACTTGTCTCTATTTAACTTAAGAGTTCACAGTGTGAGAACAGCACTACCCCCATGGCACTTACCATACTTATTAGCAGCAGTTGTTTAACTCTGCAGCTGCCTGAGGTGGCTATGCCAATCCAGGCTAATGAGAGGTTGATCAAAAAAACTTAAAATGGAAATGCTGGGGACTGAGAAATTCAAAGGGACTTTGAAAAGCCAAGGCATATTCCTGGGAGTCTAGAAAGCCATGAACATAGGAAGGATTGAGTGAGCGACAACAGTGAGGCAATCCTGCCCAAAGCAATCCTTGTCAAAACACCAGTGGCATTTTCAATGGACCTGAGCAAATAATCCTAAAATTTATTTGGAACCACAAAAGACCCCAAATAGCCAAAACAGGAAAAAGAAAAACAAGGCAGGAGGAAATATGGTACCTGATTTCAAGCTATGCTACAAAGCTACAGTGATCAAAACAGTATGGTGCCAGCAAAAAGTAGACACACAGATCAATAGAACAGAATAGAGAGCCCAGAACAAAACCATGCATATGTAGTCAATTAATATATGACAAAGGAGGCAAGAATAAACAATGGGGAAAGCACAGTCTCTTCAATAACTGGTGTTGGGAAAACTGAACAACTAACTACATACAAGAGGATGAAACTGGATTACTGTCTAACACTATACAGAAAAGTAAACTCTAAATGGATTAAAAACCTAAATATAAGACCTGAAACCATAAAACTCTTAGAAGAAGCATGGGCAGAAATTCTAGAACTTAGGCATGAGTAATTTTTCTGGCTACATCTCCTAAAACAAAAGCAAAAATAAACAAGTGGGACTACATCAAACTAAAAAGCTTCTGTATAGCAAAGGAAATGATCAACAAAATGAAAAGGCAACATCTGGTATGGGAGAATATATTTGTGAATGATATATCCAATAAGGGACTAACATCCAAAATATATAAAGAACTCATGCAACTTGACACCAAAAAAAACAAATAACCCCATTAAAAAATGGGCAGAGGACTGGATAGATATTTTTCTAAAGAAGACATACAGATGGCCTACAGGCACATCACTAGTCATCAAGGAAATGCACATCAAAACTACAATAAGCTATTTCCTCACACCAGTCAGAATGGCCACTATCCAAAAGACAAGAAATAACAAGTGTTGGTGAGGATGTGGAGAAAAGGAAACCCTCCTACACTATCCATGGGAATGTAAATTGGTGCAGCCACTGTGGAAAGCAGTTTGGAGGTTCCTCAAAAAACTAAAAATAGAAATGCCATATGGCCCAGTATGGCCATAATTTCTTCCACTTCTAGAAATTAACATGAAGAAAACAAAATCTCTGATTTGAAAAGATATATGAACTGCTATGTTTATTGCCACATTATTTACAATAGCCAAAATATGGAAGCAACCCAAGTGTCCTTCAAAAGGTGAATGGATAAAGAAGATGTGATACATATACATAATGCAATATTATTCAGCCATCAACAAAAAGAAATCCTGCCATTTGCAACAACATAGATGGACCTAGAGGGTATTCTGCTCAGCGAAGTAAGCCAGGAGAAAGACAAATACCATATGATTTCACTTATTTGTGGAATATAAAAACAAGGCAAAATGAACAAAACAGCAGTAGACTCATAGACACTGAGAAGTGATTGGTGGTTATTATCAGGGGAAGGTAGGTGGGTGAAATAGATGAAGGGAATAAAGAGGCACAAAATCTCAGTCATAATATAAATTAGTCACAGGGATGAAATACAGCATAGAGACATCTTTCTATGTTGACAGATAGTCATTATACTAGTTGGGGTAAGCATTTAATAATGTAGATAACTGTCGAATCACTTCATCGTGCACTTGAAACCAATACAATATTGTATGTCAACTATACTGCAAAAAGAAAAAAAAAATGCTAGAAGAAAAAAATAGAGTAGGACAGAAAATCCAGGAAGTTGGTGCCATGGAAGAAAAGAGTCCCAAGGGATTGAATGCTTATTGAGTGCCAGATGCTGTGTTCAGTGCTTAAAATATCCTGTCTCATGGGTGCATATAATCACAAACCCCACGTAACAGTTGAGGAAACTGAGGCTCTATGAGAGTAGGTAACTGGCCAACGTGGCAGGGCTAGTAAGTGGCCCAGCTGGGATTTGACTCGTGCTGTCTGACTTCAGTTTGTTCTGGGTTCTGGATGTCTGGAACGGCCAAGAGTGTAAAATGCTACTGCGGAGACTTGTCAAAAAAGATGTAAATTTGTTATTTGGATTTCTCAGCAAGGAAGTCTTATAGAAACTTCTTGAAGTGCAAGAGCAAGCAAGCAGATGCTAATGGTTTGAAGAGCAGAAGTGAGGAAAGGGAAAGAGTGCTCAGCCATTTGCTTGCAAGGAAAGCAGAGGTGGGGCGTTAGCTGGAGGATGGGTGAGGATGCAGTGTCTTTTTAGTGTTTCAGAGATTTCAGTATATGTAAATAGGGCAATGTAGCCAGCAAAAAGCCTGATCTTTCAGGAGGTGAAAAGGCCTGGAGCCTTGGGCCCAGAGGAGATAAGGAAGAAAGGGAGCCTAATCCCAACAGGCAGGAGAACTGAAATCTGAAACCTAGGGACAGGCTACTTGAGTTCCTCTTGACTTTATTTTCAGGTTGATTTCATTGTTCATCCTTTTTCTTTAGAGACAGAAGCCTGTCGTCTTTAAAAGAAACAAGGCAGAACTGATGACCAAGAAGCATCATAGTGAAGGAAGATTAATTATTCAAGTCCTCTGCAATTCTTTTAATGTAATTACATCATCATTAGCCTTATTAATTACCGTAAGAGCATGCCAAGGTAAGTTGATAGCAGCATCGTGTGGACAGTCTGTCTTCAGGACCCTAGCGATTCTAGGGCACTGCATGTAGGATTTGGTGATTGCCCAGTTAGGACAAGCATTGGGTTCTCACTAAACACCAGGGTGAGTAAGTCTAGAGATGTACAGGCACGATGGCTGTACTTAATAACACTGTACTGAGCATTCAAAACATGCTAAGAGTGTGGATTTCAGGTTACCATTATCATACATACAAAATGCTAACTGCGTGAGGAGACTGTATGATAACTACCTCCACTGCACTGGCCCATTTCACTGTGTGTATGTATATCAAATCACATGGTGCACCTAAGTATGTAAAATACATATATATATAAGTAGATGAAAAATAAATCTATTCTTTAAAAACAAAAATGAACAGGAAGGGACCCTGCCAACTCAAACTTGGCTGCACATGGAAATCTACTGGGAGCTTTAGAAAATATTGATGCCTGGGTTGCGATCTATAGACTATTCAAATTTAATAGTCCTAGTACCTTTTAAAGGTAATTTTTATCCAGTTCAGGATCACACATTGCATTTAGTTGATATGCCTCTTTGAATCCCCTCTAAAGAGGTCCTCAGTCTTTCTTTGCTTTCATGAGCTTGAGACTTTTGAAGATTATAGTCCAGTTGTTTTATTGAATGTCTCTCAATCTTTGCTCTTCTGGCGTTTTCTCATGTTTAGAATCAGATTATGCATTTTGGTCACGAATGCTACAGAAGTGATGCCGCATCTTTCTCGGTCCATCTGGGAGGCCCAGGAAATTTTATTTGCCCCATTAAAAGTGATACTAACTTTGATCACTTGGCTAAGGTGGTAGCTGGCTGGTTTCTCCACTGTAAAGTTGCTGTTTTTCCTGTTGCTTTTGATAAGTATCTTTGGAAAGATGTTTTGAGATTATATAAATAACTTCTTTCTCACCAAATTTTTACCCACTAGTTTTAACATACATTGATGATCCTTGATTAAAACAACTACTACTATGGTGATTGCTAAATAGTGATTTTTCTAATCCCATTATTACTTTTGTATTTATTAATTGGCATTCTATTGTAAGGGAGAGTTTTTTTCCTACTGTATTTATCTATTTATATCACTAATCTATCATATATTTATCTATATTAGTATGGACTCATGGATTCTTATTTTTATTCTATTGGTGATATCTTTAATGCCATGGTTTATTTTAATGATCAACATCCCTTATCTGACAGCGGACCTCCCTCTAGCTAGCTCTGTATCCCATTTGACATCGACTCCGTACTTTTCAATTACACAGAGCTGAAATGAAGACACAAGTTTCTTAGGTAACACAAAAATTTCACTTTTATAATTAATTGAAATCACACCCTGTCATATACTGCAGTGTTGCCAAATAAGGAATCTAACTTTTTAAAATAATCTTTTTATTCTAGAACAAAATTTTAGATGTAGAGAAAAGTTGCAAAGATACCTCAGAGAGTTCCTATATACCTTTCACCCAGTTTCTCCTATTGTTAACATCTTGCACTACTGTGGTATGTTTGTCACACTTGAGACACCAACAGTGGTACATTACCATCAATCAAGCTCCCCATTTCATTCAGATGGCACCAGTTTCTCTCCAATGCCCTTCTGTTCCAGGATCATAGCCAGGGTGCCACATCACATTAGTTGTCATGTCTCCTTCGTTTCTTATGGTCTCTTGAGAGTTTCTCCGTCTTTCCTAGTTTTCGATAACTGGGAAAGTTTTGAGAGTACTGGTCAAGTATTGTGTAGGATGTGTCTCAATGTGTTTGTCTAATGTTTTTCTTTTGGTGAGACTAGGGGGTAATGGTTTGGGGGAGGAACACACAGAGAGGAAGTCCCGTTCTCATCACATCAGGGGTACTCACGTGACTCGACACTGATGATGTTAACAGGCCCAGATCCTGTTTGTCAGGTTTCTCCACTGTAAAATTAGTGTCATTCTCCCTTTACATCCTCTACTCTCTGGAGGAAGTCAGTAAGCACTGTCACAGTCTGCATTCCATCCCTTGTGTCCTCTGATCTCCTTGTAGATTTTTAACATTTTTTCACACATTAAGGTTTACACTTTGTGCTGCAGGTACTACGGGTTTTGACAAATGCAGAGAGTCATTTGTCTATCACTCTAGTACCATACAGGTTGATTCCATCACCCTAAGGAATATTCTATGCTTTCCTGAGCAAACACCTTCTCCCAATCCCTGGAACCACTGCTCTGTTTCCAGCCCAATGGAATTACCTTCTCCAGAATGCCTTATGAATGGAACCATTCAGTATGTGGCCTTCCCTGTTTAGTATTTTTTTTTTCACTTAACAAAATGCATTTAAAATTCAGCTATGTTATTGTATGAATAAAAAACATGTTCCTTTTTTCTTTCTTTTTTTTTAGTTAAAGTATCATTGATATACAATCTTATGTTGGTTTCAAATACACAGCACAGTGGTTCAACATTTACCCATATTATCAAGAACTCACCCCCTCCAGTGCAGTCACTGTTCATCAATGGAGTAAGATGTTACAGAACCATTAAACATGTTCCTTTTTTCTAGCTGAATAGTTTTCCATCATGTATGCCACAGTTTGTTTCCATTCACTTATTGAAGAACATCTTGGTTGCTTCCAGTTTTGGGTTACTATGAGTAAGGTTGCTATAAACACTCACATGTGGGTTTGTGTAGACATACATTTTAAAACCAGTCGAGTAAATCCCTTGGAGCATGATTGTTATGTCATATGGTTAAGTCTATGTTTAACGTTACATGAAACTGGGAAATCATCTTCCAAGGTGCCTGGATCATTTTTGCATTCCCACTAGCAATGAAAGATAGTACCTCTTATTCAAAATTTTTGACAGCATTTGTTATTGCCAGTTAAAAAAATATGTATATTGTGATAGTATATCATGGCATCTCCTTATTTTGCAATCTGCCTTCCTTAATGACAAATGATGTCAGGCATCTTTTTATTTTGATGGTTTATTTGCCATCCATGTATTTTCTTTGGTGAAGTGTTCTGTTCAGATATTTTGTCCAGGTTTTAAATTAGTTTGTCTTCTTACTGCTTAGCTCTTAGAGTTTTTTATATATTCTAGATACCAGTCCTCCATCACAAACATGATTTACAAATATTTTCTCTCAGTCTGCGATTTGTCATTCCATTCACCTCACAGTGTCTTTCAATGAATGAAAGGTTCGAATTTTTGAGAATTCCAATTATTTCTTTCATAGACTATACTTTTGGTGGTGTATCTAATAACTCATCACAAAATCCAGGGTCACACAGATTTTCTCCTAAGTTTTATTCTATAATTTTTTTTTTGTATTTTACATTTAAGTACATGATCCATTTAAAGAAAGTTTTTTGCTCAGGTCTGAGGTATGTGCCAGGGTTTATTGTTTTCAGCACATGGATGTCCAATTTTTCTGCATCATTTGTCCCATTGCCTTTGTATCTTTGGTAAAAATCAGTTGGCTAATTGTGTAGGTCAATTTCTGAGCTCTCCGTTTTATTCCTTTGACCTATGTGTCTGTTTTTTCACTTATACCATACTGTCTTGATTGCTGTATTTTTAGAGTAAGTCTTGAAATTAGTCATGTGAGTTTTCCTACTTTAGTTTTCTTTTTCAAGATTGTTTTGGCATTCTGGATCCCTTGAATTTCCATAGAATTTTAGGATCAGCTTGTCAACTTCTGCAAAAGAACCAACTAGGATTTTGATAGAGATTATGCTGAATCTGTAGATCAATTTAGGGACTATTGCTCTCTTCACAATATCGAGTCTTTAAATCAATGAACATGAGATGCTTTTCCATTTGTTAGATCTTTTATTTCTTTCAACAATACTGTAGTTTTCAGAATGTAAATTTTGCACTTTTTGTTGTATTTACTAAGATGCACAGCTACATTTATTTGCAGTAATGTTCTATAAAGTTGCTGCCCACACTGAATTAGCCAATACTGAACTATTGCTTCTAAGGGAAACACAAAATTAGATTCTTACAAGCCTCTGTTCACATCTTCATCAGCCTAATGTCATTTGTGTCATATAAGTTTGTTCGCCAACTTCTTGTAAAAACAAGCCAGTTTCATCAGTTTTGAAAGCCAGCTGTTTCACATAACCCTTTTCCTAGATAACATTATTAGAGCTTTTTAAATTCTTCTACAGCCCCGGATCTGCAGAACCTGCCTCCCCTAAAGTTAACAAGTTGAGGCAGGAGGCTTGGACTCTAATACCAGCTCGCATTGTGACTAGCTGGAACTTTGCGCAATTCACTTAGAATCTCCATTCTCAAGCTCTGAAAAAATTAAGAGTATGGATGAGAATATCTCCATTGTTCCCTTCATTCTAAAATTTGATGTTTAAAAAAAAAAAAGACCGTTTATACAGCCATTTTAAAGCTCACAGCACCACCTGGTGGTCAAAGAGAAGAGAACACGTTGAGGAAAAGGATTAATAGATGTGTCCAGCTACATGTGTATTTTGCTCGTTTGAATAAAAATTTCACATTTATACAATTTCTCCTCTAAACTGGCTACACACAAGTGCACTACTACATATAAAAGCAATCGTACAGATTATTATGTTTAAAATCACACCCTGCGTAGAATCCCTTGTGATTATAGACTCCTAAATAGTCATCATTAATCAGCTATTATGTTTTGGTTTAAAAAAGTCTATTGAACAATTAGGACGATTACACAAAGTAAATATACTTAATTATGCCGTAAATATTTCCATTATATTAAAATTATTCATATATATTTGAGCAAGAAATGGTAATCCATTTATAACCCCAAAAATAAAATAAATATTTGTGAGGCCATACTTACATAAACACGTCATTGAATGAATAAATGAGTAAATAAGTAAATGAAGGAAAAGAGACAGATCTTCTTTTAAAAATAATTCCAAGTAACAAATATGAAAGGATGAGAGAAAAAGAAAATCACCATTAGATAAAATCAGCAATATAAAAATTGTTACAGCAACACCCCTCTTATATTAAAATTATATGGTGTAGGCAAAAGTTTTAAGAGAAGCAGGATCCTTCCAAAGCCTCAAAATATCTCCCCCAAGATGTTTGTCATTTACCAAGGGAAAGATAGTAACTTTATAGTGAATAAACCCAGTAGACATCACTTAATGAAGTGGCCAAGGTTAACATCAGGAGAAATAAGACAGATTGACAGTGTGTACCCTTAGATGTGATTTATATTTTCATTAAGGCAAACTGGTTTTAAAGAGAGAAGAAATTATATGTAAGTTTTCTCTCTGATAATTTGAGAGAGCTTTTTGCTCTTTTTACATTTCTTTTTCTAAAGTCATGAAGCTATGAGACACTTCGTAGATAGCAATTGCAGAACAATCCCAATATGTTTGACTTCTGTAGTTATCCACTGGGAATATGGATCCATAAAGAAAAGAGGACCACTCTGGATATCTTTCAGCCTCGATGGTAACTTAAATTTCAATAAAATTAACAGAAATTATGTTATTTGAAATTCATGATATTTGTAAGGAGGAAGGAAACATTTAAATCCCTCTTCAGTAAAAGGAAAAGAAATTCTCTTGGCATCTTGACTAAGCCAGTTTTCATAAAAATCAAACACACGGGTAATATCAGACTTATGTTCCAAAGCATCAAAAAGCTGCAAGCACAAGAAACAACTAGAGGGTACAGTTTCTTTCCAGGTATCCATGAAACACACGACCATTGACAATTAAGCCAGAGAGAAAATATCAATTTCAAAAGGTAGAAATATTATATATTTTCTGATATAATGCAGTAAGACTGGAAATGAATTAACCAATCAGAAAAAAAAGATGTTCCTTATCCTTCAGATTAAAAAATTATCTTAAATGATGGCTTGAGTCAAAGGGGAAATACCAACTAAGGCCGGACCTTTTAAGATGGAATTAAAGCAGAAGGGCAGTTGCTAGCCTCTGTGATATCATTGTGTGAGTTACAAAAAGGTGCTCCTTCTGAGGTTAAAACAAGACCCACAGTGTCGTATCTGTGGACAGTCATGAGGTGATGGCTCTGCACCCAGCTGGCTGGAGAACGAGCATGAGGCTCCAGGAAATTAAAGTCGAAGTGAATTTGTAGCTGTGAGAGAGAAAAAAACCCCACATTTCTCTTCTCTAAGGAAAAAACTACTAGAGTATGAGTTTTCCCTTAAGATTGGAAACAAACTTGAAGTTATATAGTGCATGCTAGCAAGAATTTGAAGGTCAAGAAACAGTCTCCTTTTTCTTTGACTGAACTTAGTATTTGTTAGTTTTCTTTGATTAAGCTTAGTATTCTCAAGGTCCTGGCTTCTAAGGGCAAAAAGACAAGAGCGCAATAGGTTTAGTAAATTTCAGTACTTTCCTATAACCCACTATAGTATTTAACTGTTTCAAATGCTTTAGATAATCAAGTCATATTTAACAGGTTCTTGTGAAAAGTAATGGTTACAGTTCACCTGATGTAAATGATTCAGGAGGAAGCTCACTAGGCCTGTCTTAAAGGATGCCTGTATTCAAAGCCAAGAAAGTCCCAATTTGTACTTGCATTGTTCAGGAGCCATTCAGGTATTTTCTTCTTACTGCAGTAGAAAACTTTTGAATAGATTGGTTCCTGACATTATTTTCTTAAAACCACAAAAAAGATGCAGCACATTTTGGGTTCTATTTCATAAGGATAACTGTAGCTTCTCTCCTACAATAAGGTTGCAGGTGCCATGAAAGAATGGGGAACCTCACCAGGGAGGATTTCTCTCAGCCATGCCCTTAGGTGGTTGAAAGCCACACTGCCTTTGTAGCTGGGGTTCTGGGTGGTGGGGATGTGGTAAGAAAGTCGCTGAATACAGTTAGAATGAGATGAGTAAAAACCTGGAAAAATAAGGAGGGGAAGGACTGTCATGGAGATCTCTGGGAGAGGGCTCAAGGTTGATTTTGATGCATGACTCACTAGGCAGGGGTTTAAGGGCTTCTATTATGATACAGGAAACAGAAGCTGGTGATAGGCCACAGTGTGCAGTGACAGAATAAAGACCTGGTTGTTAGGGTTAGGGAATAACACTAGAAGCCTGGAGAAGGAGAGATGGAGCCCTTGCTCCTGGTCCCCTTTCCCACCCTCCCTCCCTCCTAGGTTGCCTGAGATGTCACCTTCCATCTAAATATCATCTTCCTGGTTTTAGATCTTGACTCTTGTCTCTGACTTCTGCTTGGCTCCACATTCTCTACCCATTGCACGGAGGACTACCACTTTCCCTTTCTGGAATCTCTAAGGCTTTCTGCTTTCCTTGTGCCCAGATCACCAGCCCTACTAACTGCCAAGATGGAAGTGTCCACCCTCTCTGAAACTCTTAAGCCGAGTCCTGATCTCAATCAGGAGTCTTTGGACCCTCAGATCATAATCACCTTTATCGAAACTGGAGCACATTCCCCTGTCTCCTGGGGCTCCCTCCCTTCCCTAAAGAACAGCCACCATCAGGCAACTGAACAACAGACAGCACAGAAGTTTGAAAATCTCTTAAAAGAAATGAAACATACTATTAAAGACGTGATGAGTTATGAAGAGATTACTGAAGCAAAAGAATCGTTTGAGGAAACCAATATGTCTGATGATGTGTCAGAATTTAAAGAAAAAATCAGAGGACTTGATAAAATAAAGTGCAATTGAAAAACCAGCTTGGTACTTTAGACCTAGAGAGAGAACAGAATGCAAAGAAACAGGAGATGATATTAGAAGACCAGAACTGCAAGGACACAGTACAAGGTTTTGCAAGGGATTTGGCGAATTGTTCAATAGGAAAAAGAGCCCTTAATGAAACTCAACTAAGAAGGACAAAGCACAAAAGAGATTGCCTCACGTTCAAGAAGAAAATATTAAACTTAGGAACAACATGGAGCAGTTACTACAGGAAGCAGAACACTGGAGTGTACAACATTTTGAGCTTAGTGAGCTAATAAAATCATATCAGAAATCTCAGAAAGACTTAAGAGAAACTGTTAAAAATAATGGAGTCATTTTCCAAACTCAGCCGAATAATGACGTTCTAGCTGAGCATGAGCTGTAGGAACAAGTGAGACTGAAACATGACACGTATTAATTGCATTTGATTGCAGCTTTGCTGGAGAACGAATGCCAGATAGTACAGCGGGGAACAGAGCTTTTCAAGGAACTCCATCATCAGAAAGAGGGAGCTGTGCAAGAGAAACCAATTCGGATAAACTATGAACAAGATGAGAACCTATCAGAAGCAGAGAGGGTGGAAATGTGTAAGCATAAAATGGAAGAAACAGTGGGTACAGTTAAGAAAACAGACAAATTCTACAGAAGCCTGGATGTTTGTCATAGTAAGAAAGCTCATAATAACTGTTTCAATAGTCAGGTTGCAAGAAGAACTCTTGGGGAAAAAAGAAGTCAGCTAGCAGCCTAAGATAGAAAATATCAAAAGTAGAAGGCACTTCTTCAAAAACTATAATACATCCAACTCCAGGCATAATCAATCATCAAACCTAGGATAGGTCTGTTGGTTCAACCAAGAAAGACCAATAGCACAGGAAGATCACTCCATTATTCATTTCCTCCATAGTTACGTAGGTTTGGTCTTTAATGACCATTAGGGTCAACATCAAGTTCATAACTTGTCATACAGTCTGCTTGTTTTTTGTATTTATTAGACAACACTTTAACCAAGAGTTTGGAGTTACAGGTCCAAAAAATCTAAATAAAAGCCAGAACAAACAAAGGAAAGGTTTTTTTTTCTCTTTATTTAATCACTACATAGAGGGGAAGTTCTACGGAAAAGAAGAATGTAACTTTTTAATTGTGAACCTTTAAAGCTCACTTTCTGAATGCACGTTTCTTTTTCCTACTATTCATTGATGTATGGGAAGTAGTGGGTTTTAAAAAAAAGTTGCTACACAGTTTTTTTGTCTTCTCATAAATCTTCCCATTCCCTGGTTCTACTTTTCCTAATATTCCTCCCTTGTTCTAACTGGTGAACAGTGGGCATACCAGCAGCAGAGGCCCTCAGGGAAGGATACTTTGGCTTGTTTAGAAGAACAGATGTATATGTAGATTTTGTTCTGTGCTGGAAAAATTTCTTCCATTCTTCCCAGTGGGGGCTATAGAGATACCCAGGGGGGGAAAGTGGTATCCTCCATTAAGGAAGGTGGACTTTTGGTTCCAGAAAGGATAGAGCATATGTACTTCTCCCTATTCCTTCAATTAAGTAAACTAAAAACCATAAAATGAACAGAGAAGACTCTGAAAGATGGAGAGAAGGAGATGGTCTGGTCAGGAACCCTGAAGCCTAAGGAACAGCATGATACTGAGTTCTCTGGGTTTTCTTTTTGTCTGATATATCCTGGGTTGAGTGACAGAGGAGCCCACAATCAAGAAATGCCAATGCATTTAAACATAGAAGGCAACCCCACCCCACCCCCACCACCAAAACCTGCTTTCTCCTGCCAAAGACTGAGGAAAGGGACAGTCTGGCAAAATAGAAACCTTTTGGCAAAAACTGACCTACTGTAGCCAAACTGCATGGAAAATGCCATGGCTCCACCCTCACCCCCATCAGCAAACAGTGAACAGGGAGCCTGACTTCCACCCTTGCCTGGTGATAATGAGACAGTACTCCCCATTTCTTTTGGTGTAGTACAGACGAGGCAGAGTGGAGACCTTGCAGTTCCACCCCACTGATGGTAACCATTTGTTCCTTCCAGACCCCTTCCCCCAGTGGAGTGGAACATCAATGGAGGTCACATGGCCTAAATTTCTACACTCTTCCCCTGATGGCACAGCATCAGAGGAGAACTGCTAAAAGAGAAGATTTAAATAAGATCCAGGGTCTCATAACATAATGTTCAAATGTTCAGGATACAGACAAATCAATGATTATACCAAGAATCAGGAAAATCTCAGCTTGAATGAAAAAAAGACAATTAATAGATGCCAACAATGAAATGACACAGATTTGGAATTATCTGACAAGGATTTTAAAGCAGTCACTGTAGAAAGCTTCATTGAGCAATTACAAACACACTTGAAACAAACAAAGTCTCAGCAAAGATATAGAAAATATAAAGAAGAAAAAATGGAAATATTGTAAAATAAACTCACTGGATGGCTCAATAGTTGAATGTTGATGTCAGAGGAAAGATTCCATGAACTTGAAGGTAGAACAATAGAAATTACCTATTCTGAATCAATAGGCTAAAAAAAAGTCTCAAAACCCATGGAACAGTAACAAAAGATCTGAAAACATTGTTGTCAGCCATCTCCCCTCTAAAAAAAAAAGAGTAGAGTCTGGGCTGAGAACGTATTCAACAACAACAACAAAATGGCTGAAAATCCTCTAAATTTAGTGGAATGCATAAACCTACAAGTTCAAGAAATTGAGTCAAATCCAAATAGTATAAACTCAAAGAAGCTGAAGGCACTCATAATCAAATTTCTGAAACCTAAAGACAAAGTAAATATACTGAAAGCAGTTACAGACAAAAATTCATTAGATGTAGGGAATTATCCAAATGGCAGTGAATTTCTCATCAGAAACCATGGAGAACAGAAGGAAGTGAACATTTTTCAAGAACTGAAAGAAATGTCAACCCCAAATTATATACCCAGTGAAAGTGTCCTTTAAGAATGAAGATGAAACCAATACATTCTCAGAGAGAGGATAACTGAATTTGTCATTATCAGTGAGCCCATTTGATTAAATTAGTTATCCTAATTTTTTTCACATTCAAGAAAATTAGTAATCTCTTCAGCCTCAGGCTTTTCTTATTCCATTTTCAAGTAGGAATTTCAGACAGGACATGTTAAATGAATGTGTGAAATGAGAAACTACAACATTGTCAAACCAAACGATCACTTCTCGCATTTTAGTTTGTTCATATACCTGAACAAATTCTGCCAGTGTCACTTATCTGTCAATTAAGTGGCTAACTCTACAGTTCCTAAACAGTGTACTGAGACACCCCTGGAACCACAACACACTTACAAGGGAACAGCAGGATTCTTAAGTTGTTGAGAGAAGCACAGCAATATGCAACATATGTTGCACACAGCACAAACCCAAGGTAGTCATAGTTTCAACATTAGATTGCACACTGCAGCCTACCCAGAAGTGAAATTTCCATTAGTGAGAACTCAGTCACAAGGCCACATCTATCCAAAAGCAAGTAGGAAATGAGGGTTTTAGCTGAGTAACCATGGTGACCAAGTAGAAGGAAGAATTAATTTTGAAACACTGAGGTGCTGAGAGAATTTTTTTTGTTTCTGTGTAATTAGGGCTTTCTGAGCAAATTTTATGGAAACTTGGGATCCTGGACTAAAAGCATGCTCTAGAATATAATTTGCAACTGTATAAATAATGAGAACTCAAAAGATTTACTTAATTAGGAGATGTGTGTTTATATTTCAAGTTGGTATGAGGCCTGGGACTTTGGAAACTAAGTGGTAGAGCTAGAAACACTAGCTTCCTCTGGCCTCTGGAGAGATTTACTTACATTAAAATGTGTTAGAGTGAGAATCAAGGATCTTTCACACTTTGTCTTCATGGAGCAGAGATTCCCCCTCCCCTTTTAAAAGAGGAGAAGGGGAGCTTTTCTTTCCTACATAAATGCTTAGATTCATTTTCCCAAAGTTCCTCACAGCACAGACTCCATTGAGTGTAGGGTGACATCTGGTTTTCATTGCATCTCTCCAGGGGCAGGAATTGGAGCAAGGGGAGCCAGCACAATTATTATTATGTAAGTAATAATCTGTCTCTGATCCAAAAACCTCATGTGTATTTTCAGGACAAAATAAAGATCAATATTAAAAACCCACCAGACCATCCCAATCTTCATCACGTATTCTATTATGAATGAAGCATAGGACATAAGAAGTTTTGGCAGTACTGAAAACGCACTTTGAAATATTGCTTCCTGAGGGTAAAATTGTAACATTTCCAGAATATCTCGCCTGGCTTTAGTACATCTGCATATCAGTAGGTGTTCAGAGGTGGAAAGAAGTATAGCTTTAGTGCATTTGCATCATTCCTCAGGGGTGGAGAGAAGTTCATTTCTGTATCAATGGGTAATTACCTGGGCAAGGAGGGCTTATCTGTGCTTGAGAGGTGAGGAGAGGGCCGGTTTTGCTTCTGCTGGAGCAGGAAAGAGAGATGGCCCAAGACTGCATCTTGTGAGCAGTAAACATGTTTTAAACTTTATTTCTCTCTTTGACTGATAATGATTTTTAGAGATATTTTGCCACTGGATTTCCTCTCCCCGGACTTACACTCCCCATTCAAAGATTTCCAGTTAAGCACTATTGGGAGGTACTAAAAGAATCACATTTCTTTCCAGTTATATGTTTCATATTATCAAGAAAGAAACTTGCCAAAATAAATTATAGCCTTTTAATTAAACTTCAAATACAGCAGGCAACCTCTGCTATATCAGACCCTCTAGATTTGGCATTGACCTTAATATTTTTACATGTGTAATAAAATTATTCTCCTACCACAGAGTCATATATGTATATATACATTTTTTTTAAAATCAGATATCACTTATTTTAATTATTGTTTCCCTCTTTCTGCCAATAGAATGTAACATATATGAGGGTAGTTGGTTTTTTTTGTTGTTGTTGCTCTCTGATGACTAGATTTTATATATATATATATATTCATTTTGTTGTCATTAATCTATAAGTACATGAAGAACATTATGTTTACTAGACTCCCCCCTTCACCAAGTCCCACCCACAAGCCCCATTACAGTCACTGTCCATCAGCGTAGTAAGAGATGTTGTAGAACCACTATTTGTCTTCTCTGTGTTGCACATCCCTCCCTATGCACCCCCCCACATTATACATGCTAATCATAAGGCCCCTTTCTTTTTCCCCACCCTTATCCCTCCCTTCCCACCCATCCTCCCCAGTCCCTTTCCCTTTGCTAACTGTTATTCCATTCGTGGGTTCTGTGATTCTGCTGCTGTTTTGTTCCTTCAGTTTTTCTTTGTTCTTATACTCCACACATAAGTGAAATCATTTGGTACTTGTCTTTCTCCGCCTTGCTTATTTCACTGAGCATAATACCCTCTAGCTCCACCCATGTTGTTGCAAATGGTAGGATTTGCTTTCTTCTTATGGCTGAATAATATTCCATTGTGTATATGTACCACATCTTCTTTATCCATTCATCTACTGATGGACACTTAGGTTGCTTCCATTTCTTGGCTATTGTAAACAGTGCTGCAATAAACATAGGGATGCATCTGTCTCTTTCAAATTCGGCTGCTGTGTTCTTAGGGTAAATTCCTAGAAGTGGAATTCCTGGATCAAATGGTATTTCTATTTTGAGGTTTTTGAGGAACCTCCATACTGCTTTCCACAGTGGTTGAACTAGTTTACATTCCCACCAGCAGTGTAGGAGGGTTCTCCTTTC